TGGCTGGGGAATTCTGGGAGTTGAAGTCCACACATCTTAAAATTGCCAAGGTTGAGAAACAGTGATGTAGAGACTGGGTGACAGTAGGAGCATGATATCAGCTCCAGTCACCTAGCTGAAAGCCCTGTGCAATAAAAGTCAGCATACTGCTGTTGCTTTGGCAGCAATGCTTCTTACTTCCATGCTGAAGCCTCTGACTTGCAAAAAAATCCTCCCTCACAATTGTAGCAGGAGGAAGCTAGAACACAGCATAATAATCAACACAACATGACATAATCCATTGATCAAGAGGGGCTCAACTCCCCCACTGGAAAAGCAGTGGGGTTGAACCAGTGTTGGCAGGGTTGAAGAGGGGCAAGGAGGGTAAGGGAACAAAACCTATGAATCTACTAAAACTAAGCAGAAATCCAGGTAAAAGCATAGTGAAGATACACTCTGTTTTTCATATTTGGCACAGCACAGGAAACTTATAAAGCCATGCACAAAAAAGAAGCACATATTTATTTTATTTATTTATCACCTATTTATCATTTATTAACATATATGCCTTCTGTGAAACTTGGGCTTGTGTTTTATCAGTGTTCCATGGTGGGAACCAGAGTATAAAGCTACTGTCAAATATAGGGAAAAAGCAGAAAATTAAAAGACATTAAAGTTATCTTAAGCGTCAGTGAGTTCTGAGTTAAATCCACAGAACTTGGTGGCAGAGCAGGGAACTATTTTTCCATTTTTTTTTAAACTGTAGCATAATTTGACTTTTCCTGTGAATTGGCTTTTTCAATAAACTAGTAGAAAACACATTTTCAGACAATTACATATACATACAAATCCTAAATATTTAGGATGTTCTCAAGCATAAGAGCCACTGCACTAGAAAAGATAAAATATGTGCCTTCCGAAAACCACAATCACACAGTCTGGTGATTTTAAAAAGTTCTTTCATTGTGTACAGTGGCAGCTTTATCAAGGATGATAGTTCAGCCCAGTTCTTGTCATCTTTTGAAAATTTTCAAAGTTTAATTATTTTCTGGATATGTGTACAGTAAACCATGCAGATGCTGTAAATATTGCAAAGGGTTAGGGTTAAGGTAATGCTATGGTTGATGTTTGCATATAATATTTAAGACATCTACTATCAAATCATAGTGAGACAAGCAGCTGGGATGATTGGACAGCCAATTGTTCTTCCTTTAATCTTCTGGGAGGTTAGACTTGGATACCTTCTGAGCTAACTTCAATCCTTGTTTAAGGAGCCAAAGCAACATAATGTTATGCCAAAACACTGATCTTCCTCCTACCTTGTGAGAGAGGGGAGAAAGGAGAAGGAGAAATCTTTTTTTCCCCCTCTCTCTCTCTGCTTTTTAAAGAGATCAGAGCAGCAGTGGAGACATTGCAGCCAATAAAACTGATTCTTGGTTGAATGGAGATATGATCTTGTAACATTATTATACCTTGCCTCCAGGAAAAAGTTCACTCTATGTTTGTGCCTCTGCAATACAAAGGAATGCTGTGTTTGTTGTGATGTAGCACAGTATTTAAGTGCACACTTTAATTGAAAAGATAGCTCAGATGATTTAGTACAATTACATTTAGATCATAATATTGTATTTTGGAATACCAGCGGGAAATAAACATACTACTATTATCTATCTCTCTATCTTTCTACTCTCTATCTATCTGACAGCCAGTTTAGGACTAGGATTGGGGAGATCCAGGTTCTAGGCCTCCCTTAGATAAGGAAGCTGGCTGGCTGACTTTGAACCAGTCACTCTCTCTCACCTCTAGACTTGGAAGTCAAAAAACATTTATCTACTTGATCTACACAAAGGATCAAACTGGTAGATTACAGTGCATGACCTTGAATGAAGAGGTCTTCAGTTTAGCTGATTGCTGCAAGGTTTCATTGCTCACAGGAGAAAACCTCCCACATTAGCTATTACCTTACTGGTGGAAATGAAAAGAAAATTATCACTGGAGCTGAGTCTCAGGCCTCTGATTCACCTGTGGTACATGCAGCCAAATTAGAGGCTGATTTAGTGATGGTGAGAAGTTGGTCAGTTCAGATTTTGACATTAACTTATTAAATTTGTACTTCCTGGATGATTATGGAATAGGGAGTTTAGTATTTAAAGTCACCAGAATTCTGCAGTTCAGTTATCAGAACAAAAATACAATTTTTGCATAGCATTTATTTATAATACACAAAGTAAGCACATGTTTGTTTAAGAAGAGATACTGAACAGCTTTAAAGATTTTTTTTTTTTTGAAAAATGTGCTTGTTAGACAAAGATATATATGGGAAAATGGCACATAGATATGTACAAATGTGTTCAGAATTGTTGTTACATTGAAAACTGATGTAGAAGTCAGATACACCAAACTAAGCATTGGAAAAATGAGAAACTGAACCATCAACATTGACCAATTTGTTCATTTTGGAATTTGTCCATTCCAAAGGATAAAACGAGTAAAAGGCTAGCTTTTCTATGCTAAACCATCCCCTAGATTCATCATATTTTGCTGAAGGAAATTTCTTTTCTCTTCTGTATAAGCGGTGATTAAAAGTTCACAAATCCTATGATTAACAGTCTGTTTCTCTTTGGAGTAACTGCAATATTCATTAGTTACTGAGATAATGAAACACGGATTTAGACAGAATCTGTTAAAACATCTTTTATTGCATCCTGCATCCTTGGTTATAAGCAGTGGAATAGTCTAGTGCCAAGAAAATTGAAAATGCAATCCTGTGTATGTGTCCCACTAATTTCACTAGGCCTTGCTCTCAATTGCAAGTAGGGGTGCAAAAGATTTTAGCCTTAAAGGTCTCATCACCATAAAATAATATTTGAAAATATACGCAAATCCACTGTAGCTAAGCTTATTTCCTAATCCTATTTTTCTTAGGTAATTAAGGTTTTTTAATTAATAGAAAAACTGAAAAACTAGAAAAACTGAAAGGAACCAAAATAACCAGAGACATTTCCAGCTTGACATTTTAGATGCTGAAAAAAAGATTTATCTGTTCATGCAGTATGTTAATAAAATTGAGTTCAGTCCGAACGGCATGTTTGAATATTCATTTTTCTACTTGCTACTTTGAGAAAATTGTTTAAAAGCCTTACTCGTTATCCACATGCTGGCTTGTCATCAGGCAGAGCTGTGCTTGTAGCTCTGGATGCTCTAGAAATGCCTGAATTAATCTTGCCCAGAATGGCAATTAAAATTTGACACGCCAATTGCTGGGCATTACCTCCCTGTTTTGCGAGATTAGTTATTTGTTTCAGGTTGCTACAAGCTGCGGCTGGATAAGAAAACAAAAAAACCCTAGTTCCCTAGTTCATACATTGTATTATTTGTAGCATGCAATTCTGAATGCGGTAGCTGCCCTCCCTCAACTGTAGAGCTTAGGCCTATTTAGAAGAAACTGAAAGAGG